CCTTAAATGCCCTTGCTCATCAGATTTGATGATTTAAGAACAAGAGGTATAATTACTAAAGGAAGTGGCAGCAAAAGGTAGGGATTCTCCAGTAAAACGTTGTTACTGTCTGATGGCGAGTGATCGCTCGCTCGAGGACTTGAGTTAATAGTCTTCACTACCGCCCTTCTCATTTTACCTTGGCACACTCATGGGTAAGGATTGATGACTAAACCAAGTCCTGGTGGGGAACCGGTCGGCCGAGCGAACAGCACGCCGGACTTGTGATCCTGTGGTCCCGGGTTCGATCCCAGGCGCCGGCGAGAAACAATGGGCAGAGTTTCTTTCACCCTATGCCCCTGTTACCTAGCAGTAAAATAGGTACCTGGGTGTTAGTCAGCTGTCACGGGCTGCTTCCTGGGGGTGGAGGCCTGGTCAAGGACCGGGCCGCGGGGACACTAAAGCCCCGAAATCATCTCAAGATAACTTCAAGAAGATAACCTGGTGGATCTTTCCAATCATTGGAAGCAACCAAGCTCACCGAAACAAAAGCTGGAATTTTTCCTTTAGAATTGACAGATTTATACAAGTTGGCCTGGTGCATTAACAAATGTGTGCTCAGAAGCCAAACTTGCAGCATCCACCTTCATTCATATTGTGTTCCATGTATGATGTGACATTATTTATACTCATTTTCACATATGACATTGTACTGCATATTATAAATCAAATATTTTTTCTAATACCAGTATTAGAAACCCCTCAAATATTTTATTACTATTGTATTTAAGAAAATAACACTGGCTTACAAGATTAATTATTGTTTTACGGTTTTACAAGTTATACATTATAACTGTATCAAAGAAAATGGGACTTTCCTCTGTTTTATTTGAACTTCAATGTCATCTACTGATGGTAAGAGTAAGCTTCATAATCTGAATGTGCTATGCTGCTTGCCGAGTGGTAAAATGTAACACATACCACAGAATGCATGCACCTGCTTCATAAAACTTTACATTACCTCCAAGGGTAAACAACCAACCCAAGAGTTAAAGCGCCCAAAGACGACCCCTGAGCTACAGCCTTAATGTCCTGTGTGGGCACCTTGATACTCAACATGAAAGGATACATCCTCTTCAAAGCAAAGAGTATCCTCCAACGAGAAGGCAAAAACCAAGATGAAAATTTGTGCAAGACGTCCACTAAAAAGCAAAATACATCAGAGTTTTCAGATGAAAACAACAAGGATGGCCATTGGAATCAAAGAACTTTGTGTGGCATCCCAACACAGTACAATAAGCATTGCCCCTTGCCAGACTGTTTCATGATAGAGAAAAAAAGGGGGCAGGCGATGAGTCACAATAACGTGGCTAAAGTATAATGACCAGACCACACTAGAAGGTGAAGGGAAGACGACGTTTCGGTCCGTCCTGGACCATTCTCAAGTCGAATTGATCGACTTGAGAATGGTCCAGGACGGACCGAAACGTTGTCGTCCCTTCACCTTCTAGTGTGTGGTCTGGCCATCAAAAAAAGGGGGGTCAAATTCTGATTTTGAACAGGTTACCAAGTCTACCTTCCCAACACACAGGTCAAGGTAGCCCAGTAACTGAGGAATGGATTTCTGGGGCTAACTCTTACCTAAACTTGCTCATCACTTACTGCTTACTTACACGCAATAAGAGGAGGTCAGAGATGCCAAGTCAACAGGCACTACCTCAGGGTACCAAACAGTCAACACAGGCAGGTTATTGCAGCAGTCAGTCAGTCCAGTTACACATCAAAACTCATCTGTCACTTGACTCTACCAGAAAATTGTGGCAATGTTTTTTTTTTTTATTATTTTCTACCACAGACGTGGCCAGACATTTACAATGCTAACCAGCATATATACATTTTCTTCTGTCCTCCACGGACAGGGTGAGAGATGTGTTAAACATATAGTTCAGGGGTTTATTGATCAACCACAGACTACAGACCCCCCCTTTTTTTCTCCATTGTCATGAAATAGTCTGGCAATGGTGCCAGGTGCTTAAGTCTTTTGTGCACCACTAGTGAGTAAGCCAGTATAAAAACAGACAACTTGTTGTATACAAACATGTGAATCAATACACTGTACAATACTATAAACAAATACTGTATTATATAAGAAGCATACACTATCCATGTAAATAAACAAAAGTTCAGTGAATGAACATATTTGCTCAGCTTTGGTCCTAACCTACTGACTAATCATGTACGGAATCTGGAAAATTGTTGACTTTGAGGGAATGAGGACAGTGTTGTGGGCGAGGTGCTGCTATCTGTTGGCAGTTAGGAGCACTATGTTCTCAGTAAGCAGTGGGCAGTTTGTGAGAAGAATTGACTGATCCTAAGGGAGAACTCTAACACAACTTTGAGTTTAGATGGAATGTACCTTCTGTCAGTCACTCCGGGGAGAACTGATTTACCCCTAGTGACCCCCAGAGTGCCACTGAAATATTCATGGTGCTGATGGCAAGAATATCACCTGCCAGACTCTCATGATTATTATCCAGAAGTAACAGCAGATCTTACCCTAAAGGAGTAACCAAGTGAGAATATCTTATTAAAAACTAAATAAGAACAAAGTGAGAATGTTGTTGAAAACATGGAAGTTCCAACCCTCATGAATCGTTGTAAGACAACAGTAGGCATGAACACAAAAAAATAAAGAATTAGAGCAGTAGAAAGGGACAATCCAAGAAACGTGTAATGCTAGCATGGATAAAAAATTAAAAATACCATGGAGGCATATGGAGCGCTGAAGTCAATAAACATTACAATTGAGGAGAACGTATCGAGATGGTTTTACACATTTAATAAATGAATGATAGTAAAGAATTTCAGTGTAGGAAGCAGAGAACTGGAAAAATGGGTTGACATTGTGTGCGAGGAAGCCAGATTTTTTCTCAGTTGGCATGGGATGTGATACAAGACAAAGCTAAGTGGGAGCAGTTTGTATGTTGGGAGTGAATGTACAGTGTTTGTACTGCATAAGATGATTCACGAGGAGCATTGTGAATCAATGCTCCACGTAGAAAGGAGCACTGGTTCCCACCCGATCAACTCGTGCACAGGTTACTGAGCCTATTAGGCTCTATGACATTTACATTTGAAACTGTGCATGGAGTCTGACTCCACCACATCACTTCCTAATGCATTCCATTTATTAATTACTCTGACACTGAAAAAATTCTTTCTACTCATAACTCATACATCTCAACTCTGGGACCAGTCAGGTGATACACCTCTGACTTTACCCCAGCTTTGTTTTGTACTTAATGAAATAGGAACACCACACTGGTACCTCACATTCCAAAATTGGTCTGACATAAATGGTATACAAGATTCTGAACGATTTTGTTCATATTTCTAAAGGCAGTTCTCATATTAGGCAAACTTTCATATGCAGCCAATGATATTTATTTGACACAGGCTTCTATTGATAAGAAGAATATCAACCTGGTCTAATATCAACCTGAAGACTTTTTCTCTGTCAGGTATTAGGAGGGCTTCCTCCCAGTTGATACCTTGTGCCTGGCTTCCTGTTCCCAGCTTCATTACTATGCACTTGTTAAATTTAAGCTTTCTAGTAGCCACTTTACAGACCATTCTTTCATTCTAAGTCATCCTGTAGATTTTTGCAGTCTTCCATCATATTTAACCCTCTCAGAATTATTACATCAGCAATCACAAAGAGGAAACATCAGTCCCCCAACGGCAGGTCATTCACAGAGATTAGGAATAGGATTTGCCCTAGTACTGACCCTTGTGGGACACCACTGGTAATATGCTCCCACTGTGAATGCCTACTGCATAGGTACTCCGTATCAACTGAAACATCTTCCCTATCACTTTTACCAGAGTATGCCTGTCTCCTACTTAATAGCCAGAGTTGCCCAAGAGGCTGAATTTCACTAAAAATAAATTTTTTCAAAGATTTTAACTTGCAGATGGATAGATATACTGCATATATTAAATTTAATAAACAAGATGTATTTTTTAAATTTTAACCAAAACTACCTCGGCACTCTTTAAGAAACTTTAAAGATGTCTATTATTCCTCAATACCGCTTAACAAATATAATAGGCCAAACTAGGCTAAAAAAATTATGTAATCAACATTATTGACCAGACCACACACTAGAAGGTGAAGGGACGACGACGTTTCGGTCCGTCCTGGACCATTCTCAAGTCGATTCTCAAGTTGTAATCAACATTATATGTTTGTGCGATTAAGGGGTGAATTGAATTCCAAAGAAATATTTTAAAACATACGTACAAAATCGGCCAAAGCAGAAATTCGACAGCGAGGTTAATTAGAACAGACCCACTGAATATTTATTTCCAAGACAAATTAGTGCTATGAGAATTTAGTGCTGTGGTGGGCAGCGCTAAATGCTGTGGTGGGCAGCGCTAAATGCTGTACGTGTTTGTGTAAAGCCACACCTAAAATGGGCATATCAAATTCTGAAAGTGGAGAGACTCGAGTGTTGGGCATTCGATACTTGAAAGTCTATAGAGCGTTAGAAGCCAAAGCCTTTTAGTAAAGATATGAAGGCTGGAAATAGTGTATGTCATTCACACCAGTGGCTCACCCAACAGATGGCGGCTGGGTATTTATTGAAACGATTGTTTTTATTCATTTGCCACCAGAAAGTAAATTTCCCGAGTGTGCCACTGATGCACGCAACGAAAAGTAAATATCTAAAATCCATTTGTATCTGCTGTACCCTCAGTGAGAAGCCAGTTGTAAAACATTATTCACATATTCTACACCACAAGCAATATTAGATACAGTAAGCATGGGATGCAATGTTTACATAAGAATTGTATCACATTACCTAAACAAAAGTGTGACTTAAAATAGACTCAACAGGCATTAGTTTCAAGTGGCATTAGTTCCCCAATGGTTGGGCAGCCAGATCATGCATACAAGGGAAACAACCAGGACTAAAGAGCCAAGAAAACAAAGGGAAGACGAGCCAACACCAACATACCACCACCTTAGTAGGCCTGGGAACCTCTTTATTTATGAGGCCATTACTCAAACTCATCACACCCTCAGGCTGTCAAAAACAAGATTAACAGTTACTGCTCCACATCTGAGGACAAAGCTTAAGAAAAACACTCATGGATTACTTCTGCCAACCAGGGGCTTCCCAACCTCTTACAAACCTAACAAAAACTACAATATACAGGATATAAATATTTGAAATAAAAACAAATTCCTGTTAACATTTTTAAAACACAGTATAGGAAACCCCTGTTGCCAGATTACAAAATATTTTTACTGACCATCGTTACTTTCACTTCAGCTAACACTTTAAGAAATCACATTCACAAGCACTTCACAAATTTGAAACCTGACAATGTAATTCCTATCACACTGGACCATTTATGTAACCAACACAATAGTTGCTATCACACTGGACCATTTATGTAACCAATACAATAGTTGCTATCACACTGGACCATTTATGTAACCAACACAATAGTTGCTATCACACTGGACCATTTATGTAACCAATACAATAGTTGCTATCACACTGGACCATTTATGTAACCAACACAATAGTTGCTATCACACTGGACCATTTATGTAACCAACACAATAGTTGCTATCACACTGGACCATTTATGTAACCAATACAATAGTTGCTATCACACTGGACCATTTATGTAACCAACACAATAGTTGCAATCACACTGGACCATTTATGTAACCAACACAATAGTTGCTATCACACTAGACCATTTATGTAACCAACACAATAGTTGCTATCACACTGGACCATTTATGTAACCAACACAATAGTTGCTATCACACTAGACCATTTATGTAACCAACACAATAGTTGCTATCACACTGGACCATTTATGTAACCAACACAATAGTTGCTATCACACTGGACCATTTATGTAACCAACACAATAGTTGCTATCACACTAGACTATTTATGTAACCAACACAATAGTTGCTATCACACTGGACCATTTATGTAACCAACACAGTAGTTGCTATCACACTGGACCATTTATGTAACCAATACAATAGTTGCTATCACACTGGACCATTTATGTAACCAACACAGTAGTTGCTATCACACTGAACCATTTATGTAACCAACACAGTAGTTGCTATCACACTGAACCATTTATGTAACCAACACAGTAGTTGCTATCACACTGGACCATTTATAAGCGCATCAACGAAAGGTCTTCAAGTACACCATCAACAACTCTGGGAGTATATTCACACACAAAAAAAAGCACATCAAAACTCACCAATACTCAAGCACGTACAAAAAATAAAACAAACATAACTACATTTATATTCAGAGAAATTTAATCACGCCTTAAAATAATGTTGATGGCTAAAACTTAAACACAGATGAAGCTAGCAGCTCACATTTATAGATTTCAAAGCAGTTTAAGCTAGCATTATAAATGATGCATAACAAATAATACAAATTTTAAATATGATAATCAACTCTTTTTGGTTAATATGATCAAATGTCAACATAAAATTGGTGAAAAATGTGCCTTGATGTCCCTTCCCCAGGAAGAAATTCTAATATCTCATTAATATCAAATATATATTCTTCTTCTGATAATCAAGCTGTTCCTTACTACACTACAAATTTTTATGTTAAAGTTAACCCCTTTCATTATAGATACAGTTTTTATAGTGCTCTTCCCATGCTTACAAGTATCTCTACTGCTAAATCATTATAATAGTGGAAAAGTGTCGCGTTATGTCAGAAAATTTCTTGGTAACTGTATCAAAGCAGCGTAAAAAGTGATGACTACAGAATGAACGTTAGGATATTGTCAGGACCTAAACAGGAGAGAACTAACACCTCTACATTTGCCATATGAAACATTCCTCTAAGCCACCAATAACACTCAAGAAAATTAAAATACAATTACATGTCTACCAATTTTGGAAAAATAAATAAATATAAAAGCACTGAAAGGAAAAAATGAAGCACCGAATATAATAAAATGCCTCTTTCTGGAAGGGGGTGCCCTTGGTGGCTGAAGGGAAAGTTTAATGCTTCCCCTTCCACCAAGGGAAAGCCCTCCCAGACACTAGGGGTACAAAACAAACTGCACTAGAACTAACCTTGGTGTACTCCACACACTTGTTATGGGTGCAAATGTTGCCGCACCACACACAGCCGTACGTGTTAGACACACACGACCGACAAGAATTTTGCTCATTGCAGAGAGCAGTAAAATTAAGCTTTGGTGTAACTGTTGGACATACATCGTATGCATTTTTGTCGTTATTATTATTAGGTTCACATCGGGTCAAAATCCTGAAAAGCAAATCTATGTTGAAGGCATTTATATTTCATACAAAATTACAGGATTTATGTACATACTGTATTAATATAAATAAATAAACAAGACCATCCAAGAAGATTTCATCTTGAAGGAAGGCAAGAAACTACCATAAGTAATAAATAAATATAATTATTAAGTGTAATTACTTTAGTGTAGTTACAGGATCAGAGCTATGCTCGTGGTGTTGTATTGTGAATACTAATAATAAACAGCAGCTCCCCAATGACTCTGTAATATCTCCATTGTTAAAACAATTATGTATTAGCAATAAGACCTACCATTGATGTAAAATGACTTACTGTAAATATATAGCTCTTGAAATAGCTACATTCTCTAACTAGCTGACATGTAACTATAAGGTGTGAAGGATAGATGAAATTGTTTATGTAATAATTTAAGACGAGGTCTGATAAAGACCTTTTGTGCCCTCTGTGATGCTTTTTGCACTATCGCTCACAGGATGAGTATGGGGTGCACAATAAACTATCAACAGTCAATCTCATGATGTCCCGTTTTCACAGCACTCTGTCATATAATACTTTGAAACTATTGATAGTTTTGGCCTCCACCACTTTCTCAATTTGTTCCATCTATCACTGCTTAAAAAAAAAACAAAAAAACTCAAATATTTGTTTCTTTACCTTGTAAACCTTTGTAAGGAACCCTTTGTTTTCTTACTTTGAGTCTGAAGTTGGAAAGCACAGTATATGCTCCTTGCACAATGTTCTTCATATGTTCATCTGGTGACAATCTGCTATCCAGAACCACTCCTAGATCTCTTTCTTTGTTATAGAGTTCTTTAAGTCCTTTCCACATAATTTGTAGGTTGTGTGGGGTCTACGTTCTCCTATTTCACATTCCATAACACGGCCTTTATTGACACATTTATTCAATTACGCACATTAATTCCATTTGCCACATAGTGCACCAAGCACTTATTTTATATAGGTCAATTTGAAAGGCATGGCAATCATCAGTAAACATGTTCATATAATTATGTATTCCTTCTGATAGATCATTTATGTTAGATGAATAGTATGATGAACGGTGAACAGTACTGGTTCAAGACGGACGGGCGGGCGGACGGATGGGTATGTGTGCACGCGACCACAACCCATCCTCCTGTTTAGATAGTTCTTATACAAACAATATGGACCATCATTCATATACTGATGTAATGGAGAAGTAGAAAATAGAATTTGGTACTATTGAATTTGCATAAACCAGTAAAGGTTCTGTATTTATTTTGCTAATAAAACCTAACCTAACCTAACCATCCGGGGCCTAACACACACCATCTGTGGTGTAATATAGAACATACACACGTCTTACATTGGGCCTAGGAAATTTAAGTTCGGTTTTTAGCTTTATGTTTTCTAGACTCTTATTAGTACCAAATTCAGGATACTCACAATAAGAGAAGGTCTCGTAAGTACCAAACCGGTACTCAACTGAAACTTTAAACCTTTCCAAGAACACCGCTATACATGTCAGCATCCTGGCTTGGTGGTTAGAGCAAATGTCTCATATTTTTCAGGCCCGAGTTTGAATCTATGTTTCACGTGAACGAAATAGATTCTTTAAAATTGACAATTATATAAATTATAAATTATAATTTATAAATTTATAATTATAAATTTCAATTATTTATAAGAGTGCATTTCAACAGAAACTTCAAAATCAATTAACCTTAAAGCATATTATTTGTTTCACTTATATAACAAAACCAGCAAGTACACTTTTTATCACACATTTCGTGCATTAATACGAGTGACTAAAGCATCCGAGATGTTCCCAGAGACACTAACACATCAAAAGCCATGATTAACATACCCAATACAAGTGGTGGACACTAGAAGGCATACATATATGCACATTTTGTCAACTTACCTATTCCAGAAACACTTGCGGCCGGGGTAAGCGTGTAAGCACTTGTCGCTGGAAGTCAGTCGCTTACAACTGTAGAGAAAGCACACGTTAAGAAATTTATATAGTATATCAAATAGTTAAATTTAATTATATTTATTTATATGAATATTGTTTTTTCTTTTCTGTAATATAAATAAATTTACCAATTTTAATCAATTTTCTGGTACAGGGTATTAAATATCTACATGCAACTATTATATGAGTAAAAATATATAAAACAAAAAATTTACTTACACTCCTGGATGATAACGAAGAATTGATCCTAGCATCTTGCCATTAAAACCCCCAACTATGTACATTTCCCCCTCGTGTAATATTGCTGAATGACCATATCGTGCCACATCTACGTACAAGTTTGGGGGCTTGCTTAACGAGTGCCAGGAATTACAAACTATATCATATGCCAAGAAGTCGGCACTGTAGCATTTGGCACCGTAAGAAAAGGCAGAATCATTGTGTGTGTTTCCTCCAAACACCAGCATCAACCCTTCAACTAGGACGGCAGAATGCAAGAACCGGGGCACTGGTGCTGGACTTCGCAGTTTCCTAAAAAATTTAATCATTTAGATACTACTAAAATTAAAAGTCAATTCTCAAGACACAATACTGTAATTATAAGCAAAGTATATAATGAAATGCCCAATTCAAGGTTGTACCCAGGTTGCTCCCCCTCTGTTAACATCACCGACACACACACACAGGATACAGTGCGAGTCTGCCAGTCCCTCGGTGACTATCTCAACACACCAAGGACAAGAATCTTTCCACTCAGTTTGTCCCTTCCATGAGGTTGTGGGGATCACAGATCAACCAACTACCAAGATGAACTGCCCAAATATTAATGGCAATTAACAGAACACTGAATCTTCCTCCAAGAAATGTTTGAAACAACTAACTGCCAAATAACTCTCTGGACTGTTGACCAGACCACACACTAGAAGTTGAAGGGACGACGACGTTTCGGTCCATCCTGGACCATTCTCAAGTCGAATGGACCATTCGGCTTGAGAATGGTCCAGGATGGACCGAAACGTCGTCATCCCTTCAACTTCTAGTGTGTGGTCTGGTCAACATACTTCAGCCACGTTATTGTGACTCATCGCCAACTCTCTGGACTATTTACTCCCCCCTACTAATCCAACTATGCCAAATACTACCAGTTGGTGACTTGGGCCATCTGAAGGTCAAGGGAACAAGGTCACCTCCTACCCGATCCCCACCAAATTCCAAACACACAACTGGGAAACAAGAATGGTAACATGAAGCTATCAATGTACAACAAAAAGGGAATTTTTATTACACTAACTGCATTATATCTGGCTTTGCATCACTTGGTAGCTCCCCCTTCATTTACCCCCACCTGGCACCTTGGAGAGAACTTGTACTATGTGCCCACAGCATTATTAGAACGTTTAATTGTAATAATTGTAGCTATGACAACAGAAAATCAGCTGGCAGAACTGCTGATTTTGGACAAGTGACAGGCAGCAAAGTGCCTCTAGGACCTGACTGGACCTCCAGAAGTCTCTGATCCTTATGTTGGCAGCAGACATGGATGAGAAGTAGCCAATTAAGCCATAACGTTTTTGCTATCATAAGCCCTAGGCTAGCTATATCATTCCTAATGTGGGTTCTGGGCTTCCCAAGGGCTCTGGTTCTGGGCTTGGGGCCAGGCTTGACTTGTGATAGCTTGGTCCAACAAGACTATTGCTTCGAATGGCACTTAACCCCACGTATCTATTACAATCCTGTTAGTCTGGTACTTCTTGTAGAAAACTAATTTTTTTTTCTTCAAGTCCATTTTTGCTCCAGCAATATTTTTCATGCTTGCTAGAAGGATACTGAACAGCCATGGATCTCTGATGTTCATGCCGTCTTCTCTGATTGTGCTCATGGTATCTCATTCCTCACTGGCTCTATTCTGTATTTTCTACCATATTGTTCACTTCAGTATGTAGTTATTTTACTATGCAAATTTGGGACCTGGCCTTCCAGTATTTTCAACGTATATATTATGTCTCCTTTCTAGAGTACTTTCGAGAACTTCGATACAGTCCCAGTAATTTAGGTGCTTTATTGTGTGTGTGTCTGTGCTGTATATGTTCTCTGTATTTCCTCTATTTCAGCTTTCTCTCCTGCTCTAAAAGGGGAAATGATTATTGACCAGAACTCAAGGCGGGACAGCACAAGTTATTTGTGGTTATGTAATTTTGATAACGCTGTGAACCAATTGTAGGTGCTGGGCTTTTGGTCATCATAACAAAAAAGGGAAATAATACTGAACACAAGTTTGAAATCGAAGTAATAGTTGTTAGAATGATGGACAGGGCAGTTAAGATCCTAGAAAAGGGGGTGAAGGATTCCTTACAAGAACAGTCTCATGAAGGCATAAAGGCTAGAAGATAGTGCCGAGATAAAACTCCCAAGGGGGGTCTCAAACTTTCTCACCAAGTACCTGCTCACAAATTACCAGACCAGCAACCTGTACAAATCATGAATAGAACAGAATCAGGATGTGAACCAACCTGGAGACTCCATCTAACTGTTGCTCTCTCTTTCGTTTTTAATACATTTTTGCCAACTCATCATGTACCCCTTTGAAATCCTCTTACATACCTTTGCAAGTCCCAACCTTAAAGTCTTCTATTTCACATCTACTTTGGAAAGCAGTTTTCAGGGAAGCAAAACATTAGAGATACTGACAATTTGTTTCGGATGCTATAACAGACAAATGGCTGATGAAATTTTTCCTAAGGATCAAGCATTAGAATCCTGTGACAAGTGGAGGTATTAAAACAAATACAAGAAATATAGCAAGATAAAGAAAAGCAAAGGAAGGTAAATCATTTTACACACAGAAATCACAATTGCGTGATGCATCAAATGAACAAATCCACAAGGGCCGTGACAAGGATTCGAACCTGCGAATCCTCGTCACGGCCCTTGTGGATTTGTTCATAAGTCATTTTATATGTTACAATTGGAACAACAGCAGTAGCTATTATACCCACAAATAAATATGGATAAAGGTCAATACAGGTATCTATAAAGCATTCAACCAATACAAGTCTTGATTCAATTTTATTTCACTCAACATCAGTCAATGACAAATGAAATCAAATTTATTGAAGGGATTTGTAAATCCATTACACTAAAATATACAGAATGTCATATATTTTAAGAAATAGATGCTAGAGAAACAGCATAAACATCACGCAGAATTTGGTACAATTTCTAAACATTGACAAGAATTCATTTAAAAACTTACCACTTTTGTTTCATGGGATCATAAGTCATTAGGTACGGGACAACATGACTGGTCGATACGATAGAAAGGAGACCCCCGTGAACATAGACAAGAGCGGTCACAGGGTCCCAGAGTGCAGTGTGTCCATACACACCCTTCACCACAGCACCTCGTGTTTCCACAGTCACCCAGCTGCCTTGTTCTGCAAAGTGAATTTGCAGTCGAGGAAAGTTTTGGTGTTAATATCGGAATCCTCACTGCTTAATTAAACACTCAAAAATGAACTACAATATATCAAATACTGTATAATAATGTATATGCAGTAATTATGGTAAATACTGTATACAGTATAGTGGAATGTTTTGACACATTACCTTAACTTTATGAGTATTTAATCCGTTAATATTGACATTTACAAAGTGAACATCTCGTTGTAACATTTACACGTGACTCTCTCTGAGATGGCTTATAACACTTGTCTCTACAGCCTCCTGAAAAATTGCCTTTACATATTCCTCAGCTTTTCTCATAGCATTATCCTGCATTACCTAATTCCTCTACTGTCCTTCAATCTTTGCATTTGTAAGCATCATAATCATATCTAATTAGATCTGATTCAGTCATTTCATTTGCATCATTTCATTTTACTGTGTATAAAACTTATCATACATTCATTATATGAAGAAAAAAAATAGTGGGAGACAATCGACTTGAGAATGGTCCAGGACGGACCGAAACGTCGTCGTCCCTTCAACTTCTAGTGTGTGGTCTGGTCAACAAAATAGCGGGAGGTTTGATGGAAGCATTCGTATCAGTTCAGGATGCTAACATTTGGGATGAATCTAATTATGTTGCCAACAGATAGCAGCATTTACCACCAGTTACAAGTTTTGATAGCCGGAGAACCTAGTCAAGCATTACACGATTGGGAAAAAAAGTTCCCAGACACCTGGAATCAATCTGACTATCACAGTACTCTGATTATTTTCTGCTAGGTGATCTTTAACAACTGTTGCAGTGAAAGGGTATACATATGACATGGAGCCCCTCCCACCTCTTTAGCCCTTATTGTACCACTATGCCACTACTTTTTTTATTTTCCTTTGCCACTTACCTTAAAGTTCTAAATTGGATATCCACATTAATACTTTTCTCTACACAGTATATACTTTTCATACGTTAACCCTTAACATGCTCGGGGTTTAATATCCTGTCATCCCCACAGGCGCATGTCATTTTGAAAAAAAAAAAATTATTTTTTCTTTCTAACCTGTTAATTTGTGTTCACTGATCACGGGAAAAATAATAAAAAAATCGTAAGTGGCATATATTGCCAGCTATAGGGCAGGGAAGTCTGGCAAATTATAGGCGCTGACTCAGCGTGCGTCCCAGGCGGTCTGTTGCTCGCAAGCTGTCAGGCCGGAGTTGCCACAAAGAGATAATTACCGAATTATTTCAATGTCTCTGATTGATTTTTCATACTTTTTTTGCTGTAATATTATTCAATAGTGTGTAGTTTGATATATTTATATAATAAAATGAGTGAATCGTTGGTGTACTCAAAAATATGGTGTGCATATTGTTGATTCAATTATGTTCATCAATCAGTGAACAAATACTTTGTCGGTTATTACACTATAAGCACAGGTTATATATAAGTATTTGCATGTTTTGTTCACTATAACGAACCACTAAGTAGCTATTATGAGTCAAAAAGTAATGAGGAGTGACCGCCGTGTACCAGCCAGCCACTCCCGCCCTCCCTCCAGTCATCTGACTCACCCTCATTCTCCTCCCACAATAATGTTTTTGCTATAATTCACTATATACAGACGTTATATATAAGTATCTACATGTTTTGTTCACCATAACTACATCTAAGCTTGTATGGTGAGTAAAGGCACAGAGATGTGGCTACTCACACAGTCAGCTGATCGGCGGCCGCCCTCAAGGTCAGGCGCACTAATATTTCTCCTCCAACAATACTGTGTGGTGTTATTACGCTATATACACACATTATATATAAATATCTACCTGTTTTATTCATCATACTTGTACAAATAAACTGGTATGGTGCCCAAAGACCATCGTGGTAACCAGTAAACAACACCGTCGTCTGTACGGTGGCGTCGTGCAGACGACGCCACCGCCCTCACCAAAATGGCGGCTCCAAACCTTCTCTTGCTGTTTATACCCTCTATACGCACGTTATATATAAGTATCTACATTTGTGTTTACCATAGCGAACCACTAAGCTGGTATGGTGAGTGCAGTCAATAAAAGGTGGCCACACCTTTCAAAGTCAAAAGACATCGCCACCACCCTCCCTCCCACAGCATTACACCTCCTTCCATGGCGCATAGCGCTAAATGTCACCACAATCCTGCTATTATCAGAACCCTGGTCAGTTTTATCATAGTCAGGGGTCTTCTGTAATAATATCATCGCTACATAATAGCATGAACAAGTATAATTTGGCATTTTTAGACGATGCTGTAGTCACAAGCTGAACAGCAGTGCTGTTAGCTCATGCTGCGTGCATCAGGCTTGGTTGCTCACTCAATACTGAGGGCCAATAACACCCGGGAGTTTGGCCCACGATTTTTTTTTAAAATGGCGTCTGTTTACAAGAGCCCTGATGAAGGTGTGGTGAACCCCGTGTATCCGCGGGCTGTTTAAATCTTGCGTAGTACTCCAACACATCATATGACGTGATGCGCAGTTTACTGGAACAACGTCCAGCACGTGATATGACGTGATGTGCACTTTAAGGGTTAATTTACCTAACTTTCAAAAATACAATGTTGATGCCACTAAAAAATTTATGAATTTTAAATTACTTACCAAAATCATACTCCTGGATAGTATTCAAATAGCCGTATTTGGATGAATGTCCAAAAATAACAAGCATGACTTGTTTCTTTGCTTTTTGCACCACCACAGCTGCATGACCGACACAAGGAACTGGTGCACACGGGCCAGCAGATGCACACCCTCCAATCTCGCTCTTATTTATGGGTTCTTCATCTTCAATACTCTGATCTTCAGCGTGTTCCTCCTCTTCCAAATCTTTACGATTAGTAATATTGACCTCTTTGTCCTCTCTACTCTTCCCACTGCGATTGGTACGTCTATTTCTCTCACGTCTATTAAGTCTACCTCTTCTTCCTGTCCTGCTACGTCCGCCAATTTTGGCTCCTCGTTCGGAAGGCAATAAAGACCACTTGCGCGATTCAGTGTCCAAACGCCACAATTCTCGTGTTATACTCCCATCGTCCTTCATTCCTCCATACACATATATAGAACCCTAGACAAAATATAAGACGTCATAATCATTAGAATGAGTTACGCAAGTGTCAGATTATTAGTTTAGGAAAGATATAACAACTAATGAAAGTACCTTAGAAAGTAATAATACAGTAATGTACATAAATATAATTATAAATACACCTATTGACAATAATAAGAACTAATACACCAGTGTGAGAGAGAGTACTGCAGTTTGAGCACTAGCGTAAGAGATGAGCACTTCTATTCACATCTTTTAAGCTTCCATAATAAATCAAGACCAATGAGTAAATTGTATTGGTAATCTATGCTTTTCTTAAAATTTCAACTTGCACAGTTTATTTCGTACAGACATTACAAAAAAATTGTTATCACTGCCCCATTTTCCATTTTCATGGTGCAATGATGCTTTATATCACAAAGTTCTAAATCTAAATGTGGAGTTCACTCACAGAGGGCTACTGCAAGAAACAGCCTAACTGGTCAAATTATTGCCAAACAAGCCATGAGCTTGTTCTATTCCCAGGCTGGCCTTTGGGAATAGAAAACCTTTATAAACAAACTACAGCTATGTCCACCTTCAGATATATACATAGTATTACAGGACTGTACAGTCGTTCATCACAAGCTCCAAAAACTGAACTACTAAGTGCAAACATCATTCTCCACGCTAATAAAGAGAGAAGTGGACATTTAACAATTTAACAATTAATAATAAAAACTTAAAACACACCATACTGATTAACACAGTATAAGGCAACCCAAGTTGACCAGACCACACACTAGAAGGTGAAGGGACGACGACGTTTCGGTCCGTCCTGGACCATTCTCACAATCGACTTGAGAATGGTCCAGGACGGACCGAAACGTCGTCGTCCCTTCACCTTCTAGTGTGTGGTCTGGTCAACATACTTTAGCCACGTTATTGTGACTCATCGCCTGCATAAGGCAACCCAAATTCTCTACACTCACATTGTAAACAACGGCAGTGTGACCATATCTGGGTCCTGGCTTCCTTATGCTTGTACTAACTATAGGCATCCATTCATCATCTGGAACAAAAAATGAACATAGCAATTAAATGTACTTGCCAACTTAAACAGCTTGTGGTAAGATATTTAAAAGAATCTGGGATAATGTTCCTCACAGCTTCATATTCCACTTCCCTTCCAGGTAAGATCAGAGTGCTATCGTTACAAAGCCATTAGCACCTGTCTTACCTTCAACCCGTTTTTGGTTATATACGTACATATCTGACACTGTGCTACGTGGGCTCTCCAGCTGAAGGCATACCAGACAGAAAGGACACTAAGCAGCCCTGCAAAAGTACACCTTTCCATACCCAAACCATCATGGAGTGTTTACTGTACAGTATCTACTCTTGCATGAACAATGTTTTTGGAGCCATCCTCTATTGACAAAACTTTAAGTGCCAGCAATTTCTGCATATTTTATTTGAGAACACGTTTGATTTAGTTACTTTTCTACATTAGCAGCCTAACAAAATTGATTTCCTGCATTCCACTAAGTAGAGCAATTACAAAGATTTTTTTAATTGGGGTGCACATATCTTCTTGAGGTTATCTCGAGATGATTTCGGGGCTTAGCATCCCCATGGCCCAGTCCTCGACCAGGCCTCCTTTTGCCATACATCCTCAGGAAGCAGCCCATAGCATGTCTAACTCCCAGGTACCTATTTACTGCTAAATGAACAGAGGGCATTAGGGTGAAAGAAACTCTGCCCATTTGTTTCCGCCTCCACCGGGGATCGAACTTGGAACCTCAGGACTACAAATCCCAAGCGCTGTCCACTCAGCTGTCAGGTTGTATGCTATCAGAAACGTTTTTGACAGAATCCAACTCTTCTCCCCTAACAACATATAATGTTTCATTCAGTCATTAAGTCAGTTTCCTTGCCTTCTAATACTATCTAATGAATCATACAAGAAAATTTAAGATGGCTGATATTTACCTACAATAACTTGAACACCCATCACAGGATATTATGAAAATTTTAGAATGTAAGTTATCTAGACATCATCTATATATCCTTACAAATTTCACCTTGCCATTCTAAATGACAAAAAAAATTCAACCTCAGCTGTACTGCAATAAAAGAGAGTCAATGTTTATAACAAAATGGGAGTGTGCTAAGGTCACCTTCACCCCCCTCTTCACCAAAATGTCTCACCCACTTTCTTAGCACTAGCTTTGTGTATCTCTGTTCATTTTTTCAATTGGTGAGAAGTCTCTTATGCATACTGTCATTGCACACGCCCATATTGCATAGTATTAACATTGCATACATACTGAAATATAGAATGTGTTCTTAAACTTTCAGTTAATCTTAAATTTATTTTCACACATCTTTACTTGCATTATAAAATTTGTGTACAGCATGCTCCTCTTCCCCAATATGAAGTTTCAGACCTTACGTTACTTTCATTACATGTAAACAACATCAAAATCCACGCATTTTGCCACCACTAAATTTATAATAATGTGCTATTATTCCTAAACCTCCATCTTTGTACAAAATATCTAACATATATATACTTCAAACAATTTATACAGTTTCTTCCTACACCATCATACACTATCAATTCCCACCCTCTTCCAGATATAACTCTTCCAAACACCTAACCTGGTAGGCTGCCAAATTTATCTAGCCCATTTCCTGTTCTCCAAGATTGTGCAACCCATTTACTATTATGGACAACTAAAAGTACTACCCAGAAATTCAAGTAACCTCAAGACAAACATTCTGCAGCAAATCAATTGCTGCAAAAACTGCATCTACAACTAAAGACGAACAACTTTTTTTCACTCCGGCAAATACAAGTTAACTATTTTTCTAGAGGGATGGAGACCTTTTATATACTTGACATTAAAAATATTAGGTTAAACATTTTGCTAATAAAGATGACCGATTAGAATGAAAACACTTACCTGTGATATTATACCTCAGAAGAAATGGCCGCTCAGTAAACGAGTAGCCTCCAATAACCCATATTGCACTGTCAATAAGAACAGTAGCATGTGACGACCTCTCTAACAACACAGCAACGGGGTCAGGAGTGGTCACGTGGCTGGTGATGTCATGTCCCAACACCTCCCACCATCCCTCTTCGATCACCTGGCTGCAGTCTGCACCTTTGAATGAGGGGCAGATAAACAACTCTTTTTCAAACCTAATTAGTATACAGTATAAGCATGCACACAAATGAACACATCTATCACGCACATACCCTCAAACTTCCTCTCGCGTACACACACACTGAAATTGGAAAACAGTCTCGTCATATACAACCAGAAAGCCCATAGCAGGAGGCACAAGGAAGGAATACAATGAAACAATCAGCTTGAAGGGCAACAGAGTGGGCAGTGGCAGTAACAACCGAAGCAAGGGGGGGCAACACCTCTAATACTTGGTAACTTCAACCACAGGGAAAGTTGAAGGATTTCCAACAGTAAGGATGAAATGCAGACACCAAAAGGTAGGTAGGTAAAATACTAGGTAGGTACTTCTAGAAATATCACATAGTAATGCCAATGGCAGGAAGAGAAGAGGATGAACCAGAAACAATACATAATATTTTCACACTAAGTAAGGCAGATATAAATATAAAATAGAGCAACTGAGACTCGGTGACCTACTTAATAGTGTTCACTGATATAACTAACAAAGGATGGAAACAGGATGACAAATGGGCCGAAAAGGAATCAAGATTAAAACAAATATCAATTATGAAAGAACATGAACCTTCCTGTAGGATGTCCAGTGGAAAAATAATCTAGAGGGACAGCAAATGAGATGAAGGGATACATAATACAAAAATGTGTTGAAGTCACAAGTATTACAGTAATCCCGTTCAGGAAGTCAATGTGAAGGGTAGAAGCAACCCCCGAGTAAATATGCAGTTCAGGAGTCCAAGTATGGGAATGAAAATGTATAAAAAAGGATTTGGAATCAAGTACCGAGATGAACAGGAAGAATCTGAGGAGAGCCAGAAATGGGTGCACTAGTCATAATAGAATTTGAATGAAAATGACACATTAACAAAATGAAAAGATGGGCCCAAACTATTACACAGACATATATGGAAGAAATTGACAGTAAAGAACCCAGTAATCAGACTAAAGAATGATGTGAATGCTTTCATGAAGGGGCGATAAACAGAAGGGATATGTATAGAGGCAAATGATGCTTAATAACTAAGACTTTCATGCTGTATTTTTTCTTTTTAATGCTGTATTTTAATGCTGTATTTTTTCTTTTTAATGAAAGTTTTTTTAAATTCTTATAAATTTTTAGATTCTAGAGTTCTGAAGTAATAACTCTTGCCACACTATTGCATAAATTAAAATGCACACAATACACACAAATACAAAAGAATTATATTTGAGAAGAAATAAATGGACAATTCAAAATGCAGAGACAAACCTGTGTAGCCAGGATGGCATTGGCAGCGGTGTTCTTCGGGGTTACACAGACCATTGCCTGAACAGCCCTCGGGACACACCGGGACCGAGCAAGCGGGACCACCCCAGCCGGCATCACACGTACAGAACCCCTCCAAGCACGCACCTCGGCCCGAACATTCGTCCCCAGCCACAGTACTGGGGCACCCATCCACTCTGATGACCAAGATACACTTTTATTGTTCTTCCTTAAGTTACCTGCACCTGAGTCAGTCTGTCTTGTGTACTTGCACATTTGTCTTCTTTTTATGTACCTACGCATCTGTCTTTTTGTATACCCAAACATCTTTCTCTTTGTGTACCTACAGTTTGTCTTTCTCCTCATGTACCTATCTGTCTTTCTCTGTGTACCTATCTGTCTTTCTCCTCATGTACCTGTCTTTCTCTGTGTACCTGTCTGTCTATCTCTGTGTACCTATCTGTCTTTCTCTGTGTACCTATCTGTCTTTCTCTGTGTACCTATCTGTCTTTGTGTACCTATCTGTCTTTGTGTACCTATCTGTCTTTCTCTGTGTACCTATCTGTCTTTCTCTGTGTACCTATCTGTCTTTCTCTGTGTACCTATCTGTCTTTCTCTGTGTACCTATCTGTCTTTCTCTGTGTACCTATCTGTCTTTCTCTGTGTACCTATCTGTCTTTCTCTGTGTACCTATCTGTCTTTCTCTGTGTACCTATCTGTCTTTCTCTGTGTACCTATCTGTCTTTCTCTGTGTACCTATCTGTCTTTCTCTGTGTACCTATCTGTCTTTCTCTGTGTACCTATCTGTCTTTCTCTGTGTACCTATCTGTCTTTCTCTGTGTACCTATCTGTCTTTCTCTGTGTACCTGTCTGTCTTTCTCTGTGTACCTGTCTGTCTGTCTCTGTGTACCTGTCTGTCTGTCTCTGTGTACCTGTCTGTCTGTCTCTGTGTACCTGTCTGTCTGTCTCTGTGTACCTGTCTGTCTGTCTCTGTGTACCTATCTGTCTTTCTCTGTGTACCTATCTGTCTTTCTCTGTGTACCTATCTGTCTTTCTCTGTGTACCTATCTGTCTTTCTCTGTGTACCTATCTGTCTGTCTCTGTGTACCTATCTGTCTGTCTCTGTGTACCTACATTCTCTTTTTTTTTACATATCTGTACTTCACCTCGATTTTTTTATACCTAAGCATTTGTATTTTTCCTCTTACACCTGTCTTCCACCAATACTGTACTTACCCCATCCTCATCATTTGCATGTCAAAGAAATGCAATGATTGAAATAATGAGAATGGAATTAAATTTACAGAGTGTGTGTGATAGAGTCCGTGACATTAACACTAGAGTATCTATTCGTTTCATGCGGAGAAAAGGAGGGGATAAGCTGTTTGAGAGCGTTCAGACCTGCTTGAGTGACGTACACACTTCCAGGAAACTGAGGGAGACACGCTATACGAGAGGATTAGCTCATGACCTCAGGGAATACGACGTACTTGACTGCTGTAAACCCTCTCGACAGTGTAATATGTCTGCTCCCTGGAAAGTACAGAAAATAGACGTCGAAATTGTACCCCTCAAGGTGAAAAAGATTCATCGTGAACCGGGACAATTACGGTGTTTGTATGGAAGCATGATATCTCGGTTACCAAGAGGCAACAGTTTACATGTATATTGCGACGGGTCGGTGGCGGAAGATGGCAGGGCAGGGTGTGGTGTCCTAATAAGGGATTATACGGAGTTTGGGACTGTGGACAGGATAATTGAACTCCGGCTTAGTAATTATATATCATCCACACAAGCTGAACTGCAGGCCATTCTGGCGTGTTTGGAGGAAGTACGTCATGACGACAAAAATGTTTTTGTATTTGTCGATAGCCGAGGAGCACTGGAGTCCTTAAACAGTCGAAACCCAGTCTTCATGTCTATAGTGGAGGACTGTAAGAGAAGAATAACCAAGATACAGCTGAAAGGTTATAGTGTGAAATTCATGTGGATTCCATCTCATGTTGGAATAGTGCTCAACGAGGTGGCGGATGACTTGGCCAAACGTGCCACATCAAAACCACAAGTTGACATTGAATGTGAATTCACAATGAGACAAATAAGAAGCAAAATCAGAAATATTCAGGCACAGGCGGGAGTGGAGAGGAGAGAGATAATGTATGAGAGTAGTCAAACCATGCAACACTACATGTATGTGAGTCAAAACACCCATTTCACTTATGGTAAAAGGAGAAATGCTTGGAGTGACTGTGTACATGCGGCTCAGGCTTGGGTACAAATATTACTGGGAATATGGGATAGATGTTCATGGTAATGACACGAAGTGTAAACTATGTGGTATGTTAAGGTCTCACACCCTTGCCCATTATATTCTTGATTGTCCGTTGATTAATGTATATAGAAACACTGAGATAAGGACTGTTCCTGAACAAATAGCCTGGATGTGTCACAACGGAAAGGTTGATGATATTCTTGAGAGATATAAGAATTTTGCACCAAGATTGTAATATTTTGTTGAATTATCTGCAGGTGTCTTGCAACTTGTCTATACAGTATACCTTGGTCATAAAAGTATTTGTGTGTACATCTGATACCATACTACTTGTGAGGGAGGAAATGTATATTTTTACCTCTCAGAATGTTTGGTAATGTGTTTATTTGTGATGTGTGTCTATGTATATATTAACACGTTGTACTGAATGGGGTGAGAATAGCTTGAGCTACCTCATCCCTTTGTGTGTATTTTACCTCAATAAACTTATTTCAATTTCAATTTCAATTTCATCATTTACTGCATCTTCCCTTCTACTTGCTCACTTAAGAATGCATGCAGCATCACTTCTAAGTGATGCTGCATGCACTCTTACTTCTCCTAAGAAGCAGTTGACAACTACTTCACTTTCATCATGCGCCCACCCTTTCGCTTCTCCTTTCCCCTTCCCTCCAACAAACTTGTACACAAACTGTGTTCTGCACTGAAGATAGCAACAACAACAAAATCCCTACCTGTGGTTTATCTGTGACCAATTTCACTAGTTTTTCCAGCTCTTGCAGCCCCCGAGGCCAGGCTTCCCTTGTAAATGTCTATCAGCGAGGTTATATGTTTTGTGTCTTGCACGCCCACATAGCCTAGACATAACTCGGCTGATTCAATGCCTCTGCAGGAACCAGCCTTATCCTTTCCCTACAGAACAACAAACTACATCCTGATAAAGCTGTCCGGACCCTAAATTGATTAATAATCACTCTGCAGCAGTAACAATTTCATATGAAAATAATATTCACCTTGCCCCCTTGCAATGTTTTCAGGGCTCAACGTCCCCACTGCCTGGTCCTCGACCAGGCCTGTGTCAGATTTCTCCATCTTGGCTTGACTTCTTAACAAGAAAACTAAAACTAACCCTATTGTAGCAGTTCCTAAGCTCTGAAAGTGAGGGTCCACTACTGCCGACTCAAAGAATTCATTACTCATCTCTCAGTTTCTTAAGTTGCAATCATGTTTACTTTAGGTTTAAAATGCAAAATGTCTACAACAAATTTGTTCACCAATTGCTGAAATACTGAGAAATCCTAGACTCATATCTATGATGAATTTCCATGGCCAACCCAGGAAATTGACCATGGACAACCCAGGAAATTGACCATGGGCCAACCCAGGAAATTGACCATGGGCCAACCCAGGAAATTGACCATGGCCAACCCAGGAAATTGACCATGGCCAACCCAGAAAATTGACCATGGGCCAACCCAGGAAATTGACCATGGGCCAACCCAGGAAATTGACCATGGGCCAACCCAGGAAATTGACCATGGGCCAACCCAGGAAATTGACCATGGGCCAACCCAGGAAATTGACCATGGGCCAACCCAGGAAATTGACCATGGGCCAACCCAGGAAATTGACCATGGGCCAACCCAGGAAATTGACCATGGGCCAACCCAGGAAATTGACCATGGGCCAACCCAGGAAATTGACCATGGGCCAACCCAGGAAATTGACCATGGGCCAACCCAGGAAATTGACCATGGGCCAACCCAGGAAATTGACCATGGGCCAACCCAGGAAATTGACCATGGCCAACCCAGGAAATTGACCATGGCCAACCCAGGAAATTGACCATGGCCAACCCAGGAAATTGACCATGGCCAACCCAGGAAATTGACCATGGCCAACCAGCTGAGCACCAGAACCCTAGACGGCGACTCCTTAAGCCTGTCTTGCCTGTTTCCTATCCAGAAAAGGTAGTTTTACAAGCCACACTCAACTACCCTGGTTCGGGGGGTAGAAATAGCCTAAGCTACCCTATCCCTTTGAGATGTATTTCTTTCTTGTCTCAAACATACTTGAACTTGAACTACCCTGGATCATCATAGCACAAATCCTCATCACCATGGAAAGGTAGTATTCCACCTGAATCAATTCTCCACTCCAAGATCAAGCCCGAATCTCAACCAGACAAGTTTCTAGATAAAAATCCAAATCTGTCCACCATAGGCTCTTACATTAAACCCAAGTCTCAACATTTTAGACTGCTAGATCAAAACCAGTCTATTGTGAATAATAAATGCATAACAATTAGCTACAGCAATGCAATTTAAAAATATGTTACATGTACAATTTTATTAATATTAATCAATAAATTCAATATGTCAAGCTTATTTCATAATCAACTACATAATACAACATAAATCTGGTTACTTCTTTTCTTATGCAGTATCAAAATAAAAACATTTTGCCGTATCAAACTAAAGGTATAAAATTAAACCCCCATTAACTTACCTATAAGATATTGAGAATCCTGTAAGGTTGTATGCTGCGTCAGAGTAAAAGTAGAGGAGTGCGTAGCCTGATCTGGCTACCACTTCTGGTATGTGTGGCACACGGTAATCATCTTGGACCACCATGCCACTGTCACCAATTAAAAGATTCAGTATATTGAAAACATGACTAATGTTTCACTAGATAAAAATATAGTCTGATTTAATGGAAAAAATCCTAACTCACTTCAAAACCTACTTTTATTTGTACACACTTATACATACACATATGCAGGAGCTTAAGAGCTGAATGAGTACGAAATAGTGGAAGAGAAACATTTTTTTTTTTTTTTTTTTTTTTTTTGGTCAGCTTACACATTGACCAAAACATTACAGACTTGCTACACCTGGCACCTGTAAGATGCCTGGTGTATAAACAGTACCACTACTGTGTACCAGTACATTCCACTGCCGTGTAGTATTCCTTTGAAACGTGCACCCTTTATCATCATTCCTGTTCATGATTCCTATTGTATTTTAAACCAAGATGAAGGAAGTAAACATTAAAGCAAATAACTACGATGCCATAAACAGTGCCAAAAGGAATGATATTTACATACTTCTTGTGATCTAATGTCATCCAGTCTCCCTCCGTCTATATCTTTGTGTAAACCTTTGCACCACAATTGTCTACTAAAGCAGTGCTTTATACATCACCTAAGTCATGGCTGTCACACAAAACCATTCAAATTATTTAACTAAAGGCTTATAAACACTGCATGTAAGAACTTGGTAATCAAATTCAAATAAAAAATATAATTATACAAATACAATATCAAGAAGGCCAGCAGATATATTTATGCGAGAAGGTTCCATTTACAGGAAAGATCGAGTTGTGCAGCAAATATAACACACTGAGCATCTTGCTTAGTATTCTCCGAGTTGCATGACGCAGTCCAAACATGATACACACTCGGGCATGGAACAAACACTAACCTGAAAACAGCTAGGAGAGGGTCATAAATACTGTCACCATCAAAGACATATAAATGGTCCCACGAACATTCCGTGGCAAAATGGTCAAAATGAAGACGGATGGAGGTATTGGGCCGGCCCGCATCAATCAACCACGTACATTGTGTATCAGTGGAATAGTTCCCTGACCCATCCGTTATCACACTAGAATTGGACCATAATCTGTGGAGAAGAAAGCTGTTAGAAACATCTTGTAAGGATATTATATAACAAAAGACATCTGAAATTTCACAAATATACTGTAATGTGGATGTAACATTTGTATTAAAAATAGTGGCCAGAGTAATGAAACATTTTTGGGTCTGGGCCTCAGTTGCTTTCCAAGTTCATGCTCAGACTATTAAGACAGCAATTAGACATCAGGTACAACTTTCAAAAGACACTGCCTACTGGAAACAAAGTCCTTTACAATTACCTCATATTTCCTCAGAGGCACCAAGCAAATGAGGATAGGAGGCCAAGTCAAACTGACATAAAATAAAAAAATAAAAAAAAATACCAAGACTCCAGCAAGAACACAGCCAGGCACCAATAGCAAGGAGTGAGCAGAAGAGAAAGATGCATGCCAAAGCACAGAATGAAAAACATTTGCAAAATTCCCCCAGGAAAACATCAAGGAGGATAAGTAGATAACCCACATTTAGAAAAGAGAAGCAAGGAATTGACACCAACACTAACAGAGCCTGCCAAAAACGCAAATGTAGGAGTAATCCTCTTGGGAAAGTGACGAACAACAAGGCACGTCCCATCTTCAAATCCCAACCAGGTAAAAAGCACAGCCCTGAAGACAGAAACCAACATTTCCTTTTACTAAACAGCCCACACCTGGAAGATTGACGAAGTTTACATGTGACAGGCGCAGATGCCAACAAAAAAACAAAACCATTTTAGGAGAGAAAAAACACTAGCCCAGAGCCAGATTGAGAAGCTGACCAAATACAGTACTGTATACTGTACTATAGCCAAAATAAACAAAAGGAAGACAGTCCAAAACATTCATGAACTTGACAAAAAAGCCCCCAAAAAGCAAATGAAGGCAGTAAGCAAGCCGGCCCAGGTAAACTCAAAACCTATGAATAACCAATAAGGAAGTTTAGAAGGAACAGAGGCAGAGAGGAGCCAAAAAGGAGAGAACAAAAAGGAGTGGGGCATGCACCAAGTTACATAGAATTAGCTGTGAGCAAGCCAGGCACACCACTGGAGCTGAGGCATTTCTCTCCATGAATCCAAAGCATTTCGCTAGTTATCCAGAACTTCCCCTGTGATCTGGGATACACTAGACAATGGTAAACCCAGACTCTAAACTTAATGGGGGGAAGACATCATGATCCAATTAGCAAAGAACAAAGAAAAATATATTAATTTAAGTACACAAAACTAATTTCGACACAAAATGAAATATCACCCAAAATAAACCTGAACACCATCTGCAGAAGAGTTCCGGAGGCAACAAGAACAATTGCCAGAAAAATACAGCAGAATAACTTAGAAATGGCAAGTAAAATTATGTTAACAACCTCCTCCTTGCAGTATAGGAACTCTACCATAGCACATAAACCTTTAGGTGAAAAGACTATGCACAGGATATTGCACATATGGCTCCCAAACAATAACACCCTGTCACCTATATGCTAAGAAGGGCACGAGTAGTTACAGGCAACATAAAGACAAGAATAAGGGAAACTGCAGAAGGCCTATCGGGCAATGCGAGGAACCTTCTATTTATACCGATGAAACTCAATCTTGTACAGTACACATCTAACCTTCACTCGAAAAAATCCACCAATTTCACATCTACAACCCTGCTGGATACCTGCTTGATGGGGTTCTGAGAGTTCTTCTACTCCCCAAGCCTGGCCCGAGGCTAAGCTTAACTTGTGAGAGCTTGGTCCAATCTGATGTTGTTTGCAGGCCTACATATCCACCACAGCCTGGTTGGTCCAAGCTGTGGTGGATTCACCCTATTCACAAACCAGGCATTACTCTTGAACAAAAGTTGTTTACAAATCTTAACGTATATAATTTCATATACTGTACTGTACATTTACGGAATAAGCCATATGAAGAATGAGCAGTGTGTGTGTGTATGGGGTGGGTTAACATATATCCCTATATAGAATTCATATAATAACCCTACACATACAATTTATTATTCATATGGCACCTTTTCAAGTACTGTATCTGCCCATGTGTCATTCTATAGCATATATTTTATCATTAACTGTTAACGCTCATCACAGCCAATGGGTTAAGGACCACATATGCATAGAACTACTGAAAACCTAATGTTATAATGTATATTCTTAGTTTCAAATTAGATACCTCTTGTGTTTTAATATGTTCAGGAGCATATTCAAAGAGTGCCTGACATATTTTTGGTTTTGTTCTGTAAATTGGCACAAGCACCAGGCCCATAGATTTCTTCTGCACAGATGTCTGGTTAACTGTAATCATCTGAGCACAGGTAACCAAGTCCTACCTATACTGTTTGCAAACATTGAAAATACTCTACACTACACACAGAAATCACAATAGCGTGATGCATCAAATGAACAAATCCACAAGGGCCGTGATGAGGGTTCGAACCTACGTCCGAGAGGATCCCAGATGCGCCTTAATCGACTGTCACGACATGGTAAAAGAACTGCAACCGGGAGTGCTACTGCTCTCACGCTATTGTGATTTCTGTGTGTAATGAAGTAAGGGCGAAGAGGTAGAACAGCTTGTTGACAGAGCCCGGGTGCATGGGGGAATTATGTAAAACCCTGGTTTGTCTCGGGGAGACTGCGAGAGCCGTGTGAGGGCAGTAGCACTCCCGGCTGCAATTCTTTTACCGCGTCGTGGCACAGTCGATTAAGGCGTGTCTGGGATCTTCTCAGTAGTAGGTTCGAACCCTCATCACGGCCCTTGTGGCTTTGTTTATTGAAAATACTATTTATAAACAGTCAGATCACAACCAAAATGTCCCAGGGTTCAATTCAAATAGCAGAACAGACATTTGAGCAAGTTTCCTTTCATTTTTTACCCAATACTATTGTTTACCTAGTACTAAAATAAAATAGCTATCCCAGAGATAAGCAAATGGAGGCGATGAGTCACAATAACGTGGCTGAAGTATGTTGACCAGACCACACACTAGAAATTGAAGGGATGACGACGTTTCGGTCCGTCCTGGACCATACTCAAGTCGAGTGTGACAATCGACTTGAGTATGGTCCAGGACGGACCAAAACGTCGTCGTCCCTTCAATTTCTAGCGTGTGGTCTGGTCAACATAAGCAAATGGTGTGGGCTGTATCCTGGAAGAAAGCCAGTCATTAGCCTAGTGGGACCTTGATAGGCTTCCTGTCTCCGACAATAGGAAACCAGACGTTGTAGTTTGTAAAAACTTAATAAGAGTATAACCATTGTTTGCAAATTTTGGATATACTACTGTAAACATTATATGTATATAATGTGTAAATGCATTAGATAGTTATATTGTTTGTGTACACATTGAGTATAGCTACTTAGCTAGCACACTGTCAACATTGATACAACGTCTGTAAATATTGGATACATTTATATACCGAATATGCTATATATAATGTTTTTACATATTAGATACTTTATATTGCTTGCAAACAGTGGATACAATGCATTATGTGCACAATGAATACAGTGTGTTATGTGCACAATGAATGTAGTATGCGTACAATAAATATATGTACAAAACGGATACCTCTAATGTTTACCCGTGTATACAATAATAATATGCAGTACTAGTATATTCACACCTGTGAATGAACAGTTGTACAGTATTATGATGCTTTTGCCCAAAACGCTATGCGTATTAGTGGCTTTAGGTATTGTATGTACTAGCTCTATCTAGAAATCCAACATTATGTTTCTAACTCATTTTCTATGTATGTACTATTACCTCAATAAACATTTTGATTTGATTTCGATGCATGTCACTACACACACATAGGACAGTCCATACAGAAAATGTCAAGCCTAACCGAACCAAACCCCAATCCAGGGTATAACTGGTGCTGGTATATTACTGTTGGTGACAGGAAGCCTATTAGTTTATCGAGGTCCCCCCCCCCCCCCGCTCCCCTAGCCCCATCTAACCAAATGTGAGGCTGGTCACACCGTCACCCATCCAATGCGGGCCAGACCCAACAATGCTTAACCCGAGTGATACGCAGATTATCCACTACACAAATGACACGTAGAGAATATGTGAAGCATATTGGCTTGCTTTTAGTACAAAAAAGTAATCGCCAATTGTAAAATATATTCAATATAAAAAGGCAATTAATGAAGAAATCTACCCGTAGACTAAACCTGTCCCTACGGACTGACTGTCCACTGGCAGTAACCTATTGGTTAGTGAGTACGAACAAGGTGTTCGCACTCTGGTCGACCTCTCAGCTGCAGCGACTGTGTCGTATACGTTGCTCAACACTAATATTAAACCCCTCTTCCTCCCCCCTCCCCCCAAAACATACATATACAACACATATAATATACATAAGTGTACCCAGCATTGCCACCCTCCTGACATACATAGTGACCACTTAACAGGGGACAAACCACCTCAATAGCAAGACAAAACACAAAAGTGCCAGAGAAATAGTGAGTTAAGTGATCAATTTGAGACAAAGTGGTAAAGACTTAAGTGTACTGACCTGACCCTTCCTTCACACCAGTGACATAGCGGACCCTTCCAGCCTGGGTCACACACACACTTGCTGTCCACACACCTGCCATGCTCGCACCCTGAGCTGCACTCCTGTCCCTCTGTCATCACCACCGCGTAACCTAACACCACTACCACTATCACTAACACCCAACCACGCTCCCATTTCCTCAAAAACTTGGATTTGAAGAGGAATTTCTGGAGATCCGCGGCCATCTTGGACCTTCCATTTCCGCAACTGGTGACGTCACAGACAAAACATTGCCTCCAGAGCATGGGAAGACGCGGGTAATAAATAAATAAATAAATGTTTATTTGGGTAAATTACATACATACAAGAGGTTTTACAACAAATTGATAGATTTATTAGTAGAGCTGGTACATACAATGCCTAAAGCCACTGTAAGGCAAAGCGTTTCGGCCAGTTCTCTGTGTTTCTCTGAGTTTGGGTGTTCTCTCCAGTCCCGTTACTCTCACATTATCTCACTTTACCTCACTTTTCCTCACTTTTTCCTCACTTTTTCCTCACTTTACCGCTAACACTAGTGCCCTTCGACGAGGACAGGAAGCCAGCTGCTTGTCTAATGTCTTCCCCCCACGCCCAGTTGCCTTGATCTTTTCCATCTATGTACATGTATATATAACATTAATAATTTTGTAACTAGCGTCAAAAATTGTTATTTGCTTAGCTAAACGAACTAGAGGGTTCAGTTCCTGAACCGATTATGTGCCTCTGTAACCCTTTACACCACCGCCCACGGGATGGGTATGGGGTGCATAATAAAGAAAGAAATTGAACCTTAAAAGTTAACATTAACATGATGTTAATCACCTAATAAGTTAACACCTAATAATAATCTACATAATAAGCCAATTCTTAACATTTGTTTTGCCCGTACAGGCTTTCATTAACTATTTTTCGTGCCCCCCTGATGATTAAATGATTAAATGAAAATGATTAAACTATTCATTAAATATTAAATTCTTTGTAATCTGAGGTCATAGATCGTTTATTTTCTAATTATAATTAATTATTAATTATAATTTACATATTTTGTTATTATTGTCACTGTCTTAGTGGCTGTAAGAAAAAGTTAGTTTAATATGTTCATCAAGGACTATGTACCGATACTGTGTTTAAGTGTCACAAAGATTATATAAAATAACATCTACGAATCAAAATGAACAAATTAAGAACTATGAAGCTAACTGTATTGTACTGTACTAATGTTACTGTACTTCTGAAGTACAAGATATCTGAAGTTTAGGCATTGTATGTACTAGCTCTATCTATATATCAATCCATTAATGTAACATCACTTGTATGTATATACCTTACCTGAATAAACATCTGAATCTGAATCTGAAGTACAAGACTTTGAGATATATCTCAAAGATACAAACAATGAACCCTATATATATATATATATATATATATATATATATATATATATATATATATATATATATATATATATATATATATATATATATATATATATATATATATATATATATATATATATATATATATATATATATATATATATATATATATATATATATATATATATATATATATATATATATATATATATATAAATATATAATATTATAAATTTTCAGCTAATCAATTTATATTTGGCAATTCCCAATCGAGGACACTATAGACATTTTTTACATGGTGGCCCTCTGGTATAGAAAATAATAGAGAAGATAATTCAGAAAAAAACATGAAAACTGATGATCCAAGAGGAGCGATTAATTTCTATACACAAGACTAGTCGCTTGGCACTTTTTTTTATTAACAAGCTTAGGTATACACAGCAATGTGCTGCTACCCCATTCTATATAAAAGATTACACAGTGTAGATCAAAAACTAGCTATAAGTTCTTGTAATATTCCCATCTCTCAGGATGGTTAGTCATACATAGAATCAGGGGAGAAAATACCTGCCTCAGTCGATTAAGTTATATATTATAAATTATATATATTTTATAATATATAACCAACTAACAAACTCTGACTAAACAACTAGCTATAAGTTCAAATAATATTCTCGGAGCCCACACATACATTTTTTACTGCTGTTTGTTATTATTAGTCTTCACAATACACTACTTGTTTCTTAATCTCATATGTCGTTTATCTGCTGGGAGCGAAATATGTTTTCAGGTATTTTATCCTAAGTAATAAGATGGTTTGCCATTTCATACAACGTGAGTTTAAATTTATCTCTAAATGGCTCAATTTTACTACAGTCCAAGATATAATGATCGAGTGTGTGTCCCTGTCTTTGTCCACACAAAGCGTAAGTGTGGACAAAGAACACACACTTTACACTTTACTTCATCTAGATCCCTATACGAGCCGAACTGCCAGAGATACTTGTAGCCAAGTCTTATTCGAGCTGTGACAACATCTGTTAGTCTGCTGATTTTATTACTTGCCCCATACACATTTCTTATTTGACACATTTCATTGTGATAAACAATTGACCTGCTAGTTCTAGTTTACACTGCTCTGCTTTCTTCAAGTTCATCCAGGAGTTCTCGTCTAATGACAATTTTAAGAGAATATTTGATAACTCAAGATTCCGTTCAAAACTGTCTTAATTTAATGCAATCTTAGCAAGGGCGTCAACCTTATAATTTTCCTGCAGGCCAATGTGAGAAGGAATCCACAGCATTTTTATATTTACCCCCTTATTAAGTATACTTATATATATCTGTGTCTGGCATCGGAGATAAATACGTTATTACTTGATTGCAAACTATTTATTGTTAGTATTGAGGAAAGGGAGTCGGAAATAATTAAGCTGTCTACTTCAGTGTTGTCAATAATTTCGAGTGCTACCAGTATCGCTACCAATTCAGCTTGCATTGCGGATGCCCAATTACTAATTCTTATATTCCTTTGAACTGTGCTGCCATCGGGCTGATGAGCAATAACAGCGCTTTCTTCCCTCCCTTGAGTGATGTAATGGACATAATTTGGGCTTCATAAGATCGACGTCCGCCGGCGTTAACTTACGGGTTATTCATGCCCGGCCACCTCTTAGTTGGCTTAATCTTTATCAATCAATCAATCACCGTAAGGAGCTGAAGGACAACAAATATGATCGAACGCACAAAACACTAGACTGTGGCCAGTTTTAAGGTAAACTCTTATTACATTTACTATGTAATAGTTAGAATTGTATATAATAATATGTATTAGGGGAAACGCCTAACATGTAATATTTATTAATAAAAACAAAGTCAGAAGCCACACGCCTGTCTCCACATGAGTTAATTATGGGCGCTCTTGTACTTGTGCGCTAGATAGCGTTCACACATGTTCTCTGCTTCAAGCACACATTCACTGCTGGGTAAACAGAGGCTACAGTTAAGGATTGGCGCCTAGTCAATCCTCCTCAGCCAGGATACGAACCCAGGCCAAAGCGCTTGCGATACTCTGGGCGAGTGCTCTACCACTATGCTCCGGGGACTGCATTAGTCAATTATAATGATAAAAAAAAAATATTTAGGGGGAATAAATTTCTGGGGCCACTCAGAAATAATCGATACATTATAATAATTAATTTTTGTGTTGCATTAAAAAGTATAAGAGTATCCGTGGCGCAGTGGTAAAGCACTCGCCTGGTGCCTCGCTAGCACTTTGTCCTGGGTTCCTATCCTGACTGGGGAGGATTGACTGGGCGCCAATCCTTAACTGTAGCCTGTGTTTACCCAACAGTAAGATGTGTTGGTTGTTAAATTATTTGGCGGCTCGGAAAAAAATTAGAATTAAGGACCTGCCGGAAACGCTATGCGTGGTAGTGGATTTATAAGAATGTAAGAACGCGTGTACAATATATATATAAATACAAAAAAGTAGATAGATCGATAAATAGATAACTTTCAAACATTGCACCAAGTAATGGCGAAAGAAAAAACTATACAGTATATATTACATTTATAATTAATAATGGATGAATGGTAATAAATTAATGTACATTTGTGTATATAACAGACATTTAATGGCAGAATTTAACCATTTTGTGTAACAACTTATATTTTTTATCATATTTTTATACTTATTATCTTACATTTTTAATTAAGTTTGAATATACAAGATGAAACAGAAAGCCATAAGCTAGATCGGTGTACTGAAAGCGCCAGCAGCAAATACCTTCCTGTGATTGGCTGTTGCGGGGGAATGCCAACACTCTTTTATGTTTGAAATGCAAACTAAGAAATACGTTCTTTAACACTTGTTGTGTAAAAGAACAAAAATATATGTTTTGTACCTGGCAGCAATTTCCAACTAATTGAATAATTTCAACCAATAAGAAGGCGAAACATAAATGATAATAAATCATAGTTATTTGTGTCGAGGCAACCCTCACTGATGACGTCACAAGGTAGGTAGCCAGGCCATTTTTATATAACACCTGCTATATCCTGCAATAATTAATTATCATTTTATTAACACTTTTAAAACAAATAACACTTCACTTTGTAGGAAGATTAAAGTTGAAGCAGAATGTCATAAGCAGGGCTGGTGTGCTGAATAAAGATGATTTATTAATTAGATGGCACCTTCAGCTGATCCCTGCCTGTGATTGGCTGTTGTGGTGAATGTCAACAAAGAGTTTCAACCAATGATATGCCAGCACGAGAATTCTTCCTTGAGCACAACAACCCGCCTTATGGGCTGCTGTTTGGCTATTGGTAGTACATGGGCGACGCACTAGATGGCGTTAGCTGTATTTTGTGTGCTGGCGTCTTGATAGTGTAATTTGGTGTCAACAGATGGCATAAGCTGTATCTTATGGTTACTGTTGACCAGCCAGTTGATAGTGTAATTTGGTGTCAACAGATGGCATAAGCTGTATCTTATGGCTACTGTTGACCAGCCAGTTGATAGTGTAATTTGGTGTCAACAGATGGCATAAGCTGTATCTTATGGCTACTGTTGACCAGCCAGTTGAGTGTTCTTTTGTGCCTAGATGGCGTTAGCTGTATTTTGTGTGCTGGCGTCTTGGTAGTGTAATTTGGTGTCAATAGATAGTATAAGCTGTATCTTATGGCTACTTTTTTTTTTTGCAGGCATGTTCCTGCGCGGGCCCTAAGCCTCTGGCTGGCCCACTGGGCGGGTCCTAAGCCTCTGGCTGGCCCACTGGGCGGGCCCTAAGCCTCTGACTGGCTCACTGGGCGGGCCCTAAGCCTCTGGCTGGCCCACTGGGCGGGCCTTAAGCCT